ATACATATGACTGTATGTGGGCAGTTGACATGATGCACTGGTTTTCTCTCCTCAAAGAAAAGGTTTATTTTTTCATTTTCCGTATATATTTTAATCTGTAGGCTGAATGGCAAAGAACATAGATTTTGTCAATAAATATCAAATTGCTTATTCAGATTTGTTTAGCAGTTTCAAGTAAAATCTGTAAATTGTACTGATGTGATTGTCCACCGCATGAATTTTGAAATACATAAGCGTAGGAGTAACATAGATCAAAATATTATTTAAATACAACATTATTGTTATTATTACAGTATTATTTATGGCTGATTCTTTTATTTTATTTATTTATTTTTTTTAAATGACTGGTCATGCATCCTGAAAAATTGAAAAAGAAAGAAAGAAAGAAAAGAAACTCAAAAAATAAATTTTAATCTCTTAGGAACCTTGAAAATATAGCAAATCCAGTTGCCCTCATATAATGGACTAAATCTGTAATATTTATGTGGAACAAATTTGAAGTTTATTTATTCATTCATATAGTTTCGTACACTTACATGAGATCTTCAGCATGTTTAAGCATAAAATACAGTATGTTTGACTTATTTCTGTCGATGCAGCATATTGGCATTATGTGTCATGATCTGATCATGTGTCAAAATAGCTGAATAAACTCAATAGTAATAAATTAGTAATAAACAGCTTTTTTTATTACTGTGCATATTATTTACATGTTACTGAGTGAATATTATTTTATGGACTACATGGAATATTTGTACTTTTAATTTTTAAGACCTCAGAACCACTGAAATGAACTAGTAAAGGCAAAAATATTATTTAAAAAGTGAAAAGTCTGTCTATTTTAAAATATGTCATGTTTAATTCAATGTTTTCAGGAAGTATATAAGTTTCACATCACAGAGTAAATAAAAATGTCCAAAGTAAACATGTCTTTAGAGAAGACATTTAGAATTAATTTTCAGAAATAATTTACTTATGCTAAAACAAGAAGGCAAGAAGTGAATTTTTACTAATAGAAAGTACTTTTCAGATTTTTTCCACTAAGACATTAAAAACTATATTGATGATGTGCTAAAATTAAGTGCATTATAAATCAATAAATTAAAAAGTTAAGGTGGAAAATCATTTTTATGCTTACTGCGGAATAAGAGTTTCTATTGTCAAGTCAGTTCTGTTTCTGTTACAGGAAGCATTTCTTATGTTCTTCAAATAACGTTTGAGATTATTTATTTTTATGAATATATTTATGCATTATAGATCAAGACATCAATACAATACATTACTGTAGATTATATGAACTTTTGGTTGATGCTTTTCTTGTATCTCCTGAGTAGTGTAAAATACAGTGTTTTTGGGAAATAAAGTTTTGCCTGACCTGCTCACATGAAACGGCGTATTCTCTTGTTTTAAAGCTTACACACGTCAAGTCAACTCCCCTTTATTTATAAAGCTTCATGCAACAGATGTTCAAAGCAGCCTCATAGTAATAAACAGAAAAGCAAAAAAAAAAACCAGAATCAATGATGCAAACGTCATCAAATATGAGACAAATTCTGTAAAGCAGCTTTACAGAAGTCAGGTGTGGTTATTCAGCTCGAGTCAGTTCAATGTTGATTCAGATCAGTTCAATAACAGTGTTGATTGGTCAATTATGAAACAAATTAGATTCAGCTAAAAAGCAGCTCTAGAGAAGATAATAGTGCCTTTATTCAGCTCAATTCACTTCAGTGTCCTCATCCGATAACAGTCAGCGCAGTCAAATTATTATTAATAAATGAACATTCATATTATTGAATATTGTGTCTTTTAAACCCCAACTAAGCAAGCCAAAGGTGAAAGTGACAAGGAACCCAGACTCCACTAGGTGACAGAAACAGAGAAACCAGGCTCAGTCGGGGGACCAGTTTTCCTCTGGCCTAAATGAATGAACATGGGGTGATTTATGAATCTAGGATGCATCACAAGTCAGATTTGTGGATGTTATTCAGAAATTTTGCATTCATCTCCATTTGCTCGAAGATCAGGATATTGGCTCTAGGTGGGAAAGGAGGACACTAAGGTAAAGAATGTAAGATGTTTTGAAACTGAGCATAATTCTGGACTAAGTCATTTGAAATCTTACGTAATTATTCTATATTGATTTCAAATTTAAATTGAATTATTTTCTGAACTGCTTGCATGATTTACAGTCAAAATCAAAGTTAGCAGTTCTTATTTTTTATGAAATATTGCAGTGTTTATTAGAAATGATGTAACTTTGTTTCATGCTGACTTTAATGATTAGGAGGCTGATTTTTCAGTGTCATTTCATAAGTAAAATCATACATCAGCTATACTCCATAAGCCTGCAGTAATGTACTGGGAGCCAATGGTATTGTATAAGAATACAGAGATCCATAAAATGATTTGAAAAATGATCATGTACAGTTTAAGGATACAATGATTCAAGAATTTCAATAAAAGGATCTCCATATGTTTAAGAACATAACATGCAGAGTTTGGTAAAAAAAAAAAAAAAGTTTAAGAGTTTTATTGCATGGAGCCTCAAAATGGCTTAGAATAGTGCGGAGTATGTGAAGTGAGACATTAATATAATTTGTTTTGAGTGCTCAGAAAATAAGTTATGATAATTAACGATTCAATGATGGGAGATTTTGCTAGATTAGATTGGGATCTGAATACTTTTTGCAACGTGCAGAAATACTGAACACCGTTAACTTACATCAACAGACCAATAATGAACCTCTAGTCTCAAAACACACAACAATGATGGGGCCAAAACTCTTTATTTCATCATGTGCGGAATAAAAAGATACAAATTATTACTGTATCCACTTGTGTTTTCTTTTTGAACTGATGCAGATGATAAAGAATGATGTTGAAAGGCAGTGAGAAAATTAGTTTTAAAGAATTAAAAAATCTGTTCCTTTATTTTATTAATTTGTTCCTCATTTCAGTAAATCATGACTAAGTTCCACTAATTTGTTCTCTTCTTTTGAGGGAACAAATTAGCAAAAAGTGACCAGGATTTACGGGGAAACAAATTCTTAATTCGTGGCAACAATTGTTATTTTTCCTATATGTCATGCATGGGGCTCCGTACAAAAATGGTACATTCTTCAGACAATTAAAAACAAATTGTGCAACTGAAATTGTTCAATTGAAATAAAAAATATCATTACTCAAAGACTGACATAAGCAGTTGCTTACGGTCCACAGTGCTTCAATATAAGGTAAAAAAAACCCCCACCACTTTCTTGTCATTAGCGGTCCAGTTCTTCATGGCGATTGTCTATGTGTTGACATCCCGCACCTCTTGAGAATCTCTTGAGCCCGACACTTTCTTAAATATCTCACACACTTTTCATTCTTGTGCAAAACGTTACACATACTGGTGTTACATGAATGTAAATACATCGTGATACCAATTATAAGCTTCAGTAACAAAACTAATTTTACTCTTTCAGGTAAATTAACATGAAAAAATATACACGTATTAAATGTCTTTAAACGTGTTTTCACTTCTACATGTTGTCATATTTAAAGGGATAGTTCACCCAAAAAATGTAAATTCAGTCATCATTTACTGTTTCAACCCTGTATGACTCTCTTTTTTCTGTGGAACATTTCAAGACATGTTTTTTTTTTGTCCATACAGTGCAAGTCAATGGTAACCAAAACTGTTTGGTTATTAACATTCATCAGAACATCATCTTTTGGCAGGACATGAAGCTGGCTCAGTAAATAATAGGGCTGGGACGATAAATCGATGCAGAATCGATTCGTGGATGGATTCTAAGATCTTCCGAATGCATCGCGATTCTCTCTGGAATCGATTCTGAGATTAGATTTTAACAGCAGATGGCGCTCTAATCTAGTAGGGCTGCACGATAAATCGCAATAGCGATTAGGCAAAAGCTGGATTGTCATGTGCATTTTGTCAGTGAAGCACAGTTCTGTGATTAGTAGTAAATCTCCATCTGAAGGCCAGAGAAACTCCAAATACGCCCCGCAGAAGAAAGTCAGGAAATCCCTATCGCTGCAGCTGAATAAACAGAAGATTTAACTGCTTTCATTGATTCAACGTGACTAATAAACACACGACTATGACAATATATGATTTATCTGAGTTCTTATTATAATTATTATTATAATTTTAATTGTAATAAAGTATATAATATTGCAATGCTAATCGACATAGCCTTTATCACTGCTTAGAATACTATGAAATATGTTCCGTGGCTTATTCTGTGTAAGAAGCCACATCATCTCACAGAAGGATTTATTTCAAACACTCGACTGACGTTATGAAGTGAGTTGTGAGTAAAAATATGTTATTAAATGTGGTATTTTCACATGCTTTCAGATGGAGCAGCATTTACTACACAGAGCCGTAGTTCAATGAGAAGCTACGCAAACAGCTGTCATTATCGCGAACAATTTTTTCGATTTCATATTTGCGTGATTATATCGTCTGCGATTTTTTTGCGTAGCTTGTTGGTGAATTACGGCTCTGTGTAGTAAATGCTGCTCCATCTGAAAGCACGTGATGGAGATTTACTACTAATCACAGAACCGGCTTTACTGACAAGATGCGCATGACAATCACATTCGATTAATCGTGCAGCCCTATAATCTAGTTTTTATCCGCACACTCAAATGCTCATGAAGAAGAGCGCTGAAGAGCACTTGTGCGTTCGGCTGAGTCTGTAATTTCACCTCGGCTCAGAATGCTTTCATGACACGAGATTAATGTAAACAGCCCACCGTGAACACCCCTTGTAATTCGCTTCAACCTTTTCGAATTTTATGAATGATTATTTTAGGTTCGAGTGTGTGTAAGGATTTGGAAACAAGCAGAGTACGGCTGTTTCTAAAGCATGCAGCGCCGTCTGCTGTTCAAAACTAAGCTCAGAATCGGCTCGAGAAAGAATCGCGATGCATTCGGAAAATTTCAGAATCGATGCTGAATCATTTCTCGATTCGCGATGCATCGATTTATTTTTCCCAGCCCAAGTAAATAATTTCATTTTGGGCTGAACTATCTCTTTAACTCACATTAGCTTTCCTAAAAAACTGCAAAGTTCAATAGTTCTTGAACGGGATGTTACCAGTCCGTATTATTTTCTGAAGTGTCCAATTATGAGCTCAGGGCTCTGCTCGGACCTTCAGCAGGGTTTTGAGGTGCACAGACATCTGCTCTTTGCTGCAGTGCTGCTGTACGGCTGTTTGCTGAAGAGCACCTTCTCCCACCCAGTGGCTGGGCGGTTTGGGGAGGACGCTGGGCGAGGGCGGCTCGCTGAACTTCGCTCCAGCGTACGTCTTCTCTGCCTCCGACGAGAGCTCAGGAGGGCAAACGCTCACCCTCCTGAGGTCCTCAGCCGTGCTCTTCCCCATGTGTGTGGGGGTCTCCTGTCTTTTGGGAAGTTGAGTGTCGTCTGATGCGTTTCTTTGCTTGCTCCACTGTCGCCGTTTGTTTAAGTTGTTGGTGGTTTTCTCAAGACGGCTCGAGCTGTTGACAGACGGTCTGCTGGGCTGGATTCCTCGTTCAACACTTTCAGTGGTTAACTTCAGCTGCTGAAGACAAACGGGAAACACTTAGGATCATGTAAGACGGTCAGACCACACTGCTGATGTTCTCTCTGTCCTCTGCGTCTCACACCGTGACCAGAACGCCAAAACATGTGATCATTTCATTTGTGGTGTTTAGTAACGGATGAGTTCACAACACTTCTTCACGAAGCTTTGAATCCTTTCTGAATCATTGGTTTTGAATCTAACTGACCAGGTAACATGATTTCAGCAAATATACTAGCTATGTTCCCATTCACCTATTTTTATGCGCATTTTGGAATATCGCATAAAAAAAACGCTGGATGGAAACGCCAAGATGCATAAAAAACTTATGCGCACATTTGAGTAGGATACAGTGCCTTGAAAAGGTTTTTGCCCCCTTCCTGTTTTTTTAATTTTTTGCATATTTGTCACACTTAAAAGATTCAGATCATCAAACCAATTTTAATATTACGCAAAGATAATGCAAGTAAATACAAAAGTTTTTAAATGATAATTTCATTTATTAAGGGAAAAAAGCTGTCCAAACCTACCTGGCCCTACATGAAAAATTATTTGCCCCTCCTCTTAAATCATGAAAGAACTGTGATTAACCACATTATTTTAGAAAGCCTGGCCGTCAGTTTGTGACCTCAAGCTCAAGCGCACTTGGGTTATGCAGCAGGACAATGATCCCAAACACACCAGCAAGTCCACCTTTGAATGGCTCAAGAAAAACAAAATTAAGGTTTTGGAGTGGCCAAGTCAAAGTCCGGACTTAAATCCGATTGAGATGCTGTGGCATGACCTTACCCAGTCCATTCATGCTCGAAAACCCTCCAATCAATGTGGCTGAATTAAAACAATTCTGCAAAGAAGAGTGGGCCAAAATTCCTGTGAAAGACTCATTGCCATTTATCGCAAATGCTTGATTGCAGTTGTTGCTGCAAAGGGTGGCACAACCAGTTATTAGATTTAGGGGGCAATTACTTTTTCACGTAGTGCCAGGCAGGTTTGGACAGCTTTTTTCGAATAAAGTCCTCCATTGCGCATTGAAAAAGTCATGTGACTTTGCGCTATGAGACGGGATAACTTGACCGATCTCGTTCACAGCATCTATATGTTGTTATGGTCTGTCGTCAAAGTATTTCTGTATAATTGTCTTACACGACTGCGTTCCCAAAGAGCAGCATCCACCTCCGAAAGCAATGACTGCATTTATTGTGTTTAGTCTGAGGCGCAAGAAATTTATCATATATGAAAATTATTATATTCAGTGGCTTCTCCTAGTTTTCTTAGTGATATTTAGTGCCAGTTTATCAGGAAGTGACCATTTTGTTCTCTTTGACTCGTTGGATGGAAACGGTGCTTTATTCCCAAACGTTTTATGCGATATTCCAGTTTTGCGCATAACTTCGAATCTTTGGATGGAAACAAAGCTACTGTTTCTTAACTAAAACTTTGAACCAGTAAGTAATCTACGTTCACAAAAGTTGAGCAGAATTTTCTATAAAATTCTTGTTGGTACACAAAATAAATGTTACCAATAAAATATGACATATTTTACAGATAATTTCACATTATCCAGTAACTGAACATTTCTGCAGCGAGCCTTTAGGTTTGAACATTGCATTCAGAAAATACAGGTCAATTCATGAAAAATGTGTGACATTTATTTTACTTAATATCTTCATATTGACGAATCAAAACTTTTTGCCAGCACTTCCCCTGGCTTCTGGTCTGCAAAATTTGGATGAAAATAATTATAGAAGGAAATGAAAGCAGTCTCAAGGATCCAGGTGAAAATAAATTGTTTCTACCCCTTAGTGTTCCAGAGTAATGAAAAAGTAGAAAACAATCATTTTAAAATTAAAATCTAAAAAAAAAAAACCATGACATTCCTTATTTGATAAACCTATGCTAGCTTATTTCTGTTCTAAAATGGTGCAATGGCTGCCTTTAGCTCAGAATGTTCACACTGTCATCCACATTTTTCCTAAGCCCCATGATGCTTTGCGCAAATTATGGGAGTATATTATAAATTAAATCTGGAGAGCAGAACACAAATTTACAGCTCATTCAATCAAACTGATCAGGATTATTCGTAGTGCAATCTTGTAATTTGAAATGCTTTGTTTCAGTCTTTTTGAGTGGAAATACTCCAAACCGGAAGTGCCTCCCTTAATCTAAAACACAGTACACTCATTAAGAAAAAGGTGTATAATCAAAAGACTTAAAGGCAGGGTAGGTGATTTGGTTCAAAAACATTTCATTATGCTGGTTGAAAGTCTCTTCACATCCCGATAGCAATCCCTAAGTTAAGTGGTCTATATGTATTTATAGCGTCTGTAGAAGGTATAGGATCATAAAATGTTTGTCCAATCATATTCCTCGGTCCGAGGGCTACGATAGGCTGTCCTACCTGTCAACATATGTATTTGCATATCTCTGCGCAGACATGATACGTCATCAGGGCGTTCATTACGCTATCGTAGACCGAGCGAGAATGGAAGGCGTTATTATTGTAATATTATGCACTTTGTACTGTAAAGTTTTCTCACCGGGGAATGAGACATGAGGTAATCTGACAGCATTGACGCGTCTCTCATCGTGTCGCTGGTTAGCCTCTGGTCTGTCTGAGCCCGGTCATGTGTTTTGGAGGAGGCGTGGCTTTGGAGAGTGATTTGCAGGAAGGGTGAGATCTTATGGTTTCAAAGCTAGCTTACTATTGCTAGCCTCTCTGAAATCAGCTACCCTACCTTTAACAGAGTGGAAGGTGAAATGAACAGAGCAGTGGTTAAAGTAGAAGTAGTGTATTTAAACTTCATAAGAAGTGTTTTTTTTTTTTTACATATTATTTTAAAACCCAGTTCTAACAAAAGTAATTCTGTCCACCTTGTTAAGTATTTTAACGATAATTTCATAACGTACACAGTGCACAAACATTAAAACCATAAGTCTTTTAAACTGTTCATTTGTCCACAACAGGGTTGACATTTTGGTCTTTAAGTTTATATATTTGGTTTCAAAAATGCTTGAAAATTACTTGCCTGAACTTGAAAAGCACTTAAAAAGTTTTACACCTTCCGATCATGATTACATAAAAAGTTGTCTTAAAAACTGTGTCTGATTTCCTACATTTTATGATGTCCAAAAGGCTCAGAATACCAGGAATGACATTTGGGACCATCCTGCAAAATTTGGGGTTTCTGTGATTTGCTTATACACTTTTATGGCAGAAAAAAAGAGAAGAATACACTCTAAAAAATGCTGGGTTAAATACAACCCAGTGCTGGGTAAAATAGGGACAAACCCATTAAAGATAGTACAAATAGCACCTTTTGTGCTTGAACCCCTAATTATAGAGTTAATAGTTCAGTCTCTCTTTGTGATGCTGAAGTGTCTGTCAGGATTCAAGAGCACATGGTGATGGTTTATGGATCAACACTTCCGGGATTCAAACCCACAACCTTTCATTAATTTGCCCATATCACTAAAGTAAACCAACGCAAGACTATTTACAGTCAGACTATTATTTTTAAAAACATAATAAACACATTAACCAACTAACCACAGACTAAACAGATATTTTTTTCTATTTTGTCCAAGATAAAGAATGATACGGAAATGCACAAAACCTGGTATTAGCACGGCAATAAAGCCCGTTACCTGTTTATTCGTGGCTGGTTTAGACTGAGCTGGTTTGAGCTCTTCATGGGTGGTTAATGGAGGTTTAAAACTGCTTTTGTTGATGTTTCCTGATGCTTTGTTGGGTTTATTGTGAACGTTTCGTCCTCTCTTCTTCAAGAGCGCTTGCTTGGATCTGCTTATCTTCACTGCTTTATTCTCCACGCTGGATTCAACACGATGTCCAAAAGCATCGCCCAGCATGATATCAACTTAACTATCTAGACTACTTGTTATATCAAATACGTCCAGATGTAAACACACACTGATGGTGATGATGAAGGTCGGATCCCGAGGAGCGCAGAAGGTGACAGTCAAGGAGATGTTCTCAGTCAAATGTTTTGATCTTAGTCTTCGCGAATACTATTAAAATATTCGTACATAACGCGCTCCAGAGCAGAAACATCACCTTTTCTTTTTCTCGTAATGGCTGTGCGCTGCAAACTGCGCATGCGCCCTCTATTACATCATATTTGTTTGAAAACATTTGATGACGTTATACTGCAAAGAATACTACGGTGGAATCAAAAGGAAAAAAAAGTTCGGCAAAAGGTGGACTCGAACCCGGGTCGATCGCATCAAACAGCCAACAACACACACTTATCCATCTGCACCACTGGAGCTGATGACTTACAGCCACCTTTAACTCAATGTAAATAGACACCCCGTATTTTTTATTCCATAGTAAGGGCAATTCATACAATACATTTTAACTGAGCTACTTTAATACCATCTCCGAACTTTCTACCACGACTCTGCTGTTCTTAGGCTGGTTCTTCCCTGTATACGTTGATTGACAGATGTCTCGTCCAGTCAGCGGTGAGTAATCCCAAACCAATGGCGCGGTCTCAAACTATACCTACCTCTTCGTTTTCTGACTTGTTATAATGTTTTCTGAATTGTTGTTGTGTTTTCTGAATTGTTATGTTTTTTAGACTTGCATTTGTGTTTGTAATTTGTTATTTTGTTTTCAGAATTGTTTTTTTGCTTTGCACTTCTCTGACACCGTACAGAGTAATGTAATGAATTATAGAGTACTATTGTAAAAAAAAAAAAGTGGAAAAAAGGATTCATAACAAAGGATTCTACATTTTACAAACAAGTGTCAATCGAGTGTGTTAATCTTTCTATCTATCTATCTATCTATCTATCTATCTATCGCCATGATTGTGTTTTCATAAAATATTATTTACATAATACAATATTACAATATTATTGTAATAATATTACAATATTATTATTAATATACAATAATACACAAAACAAGTAAACACAAGAAATACACACACACACACACACACACAATAAAATAAGGTGCGCTAACATTTTCATAGTAACTGTAATTTAATTACACATTTTTTCTCAGTAACTGTAACAGATTACATTTGTTTTGCACTTACTGTCTGTCTATCTATCTATCTGGGTGTTTAGCGCCCCTGCTGGCCGTCTGCAGTCACTGCTGTCGGGTTCAGTGGGTATTGTAAAAGCACAGAGCTGCGGAACAACGTGGAGAATTACTGTTTACTTCTGAGCAGGCTTTGAGAAGCGGACGCCTCATGGAGCTCATCTCATGACTGCTGACCCGAGGAAGAGCCTCTGTACAGCGCGAAGCTCTTGATAAAGCTGTGAACCGCTAACAGTGCTGGGGTTGTGTGAACTGAAGGGCCCAGGCAAGCAGCGGATCACCGAAGATCCTCCAGACCAGGCTTGAGCTCTGTCTCTATCAGCGGGAGCATGTCTCAAACCGGAGCTCCTCCGCGATGGAAGAACTGTCCCAGAAGAGGACAACCTGTGGCTGGTGAGCATCTATCAGACAGTTGTCAACAAAGCTGCTCTACTAACCCACACTCGCTCTTTATGAAACAATGATTTGGGTTCTTAAGAGTTCGGCGAATATTAGAGAGCATTAATGTACTCGAGCGCTGAGCTGTGTGAGTGCAGCTTCAGTAAACCTGATTAAAACTCAATGCTTTCAGTCGAACAGAGAGTTAACTAGCTGCCATTAGCCTGTGCTTGTTCATAGCGCTAACATTGAACTGCGTCATATGCCAAAATAAACCAATGATAACTTAACTACGTGTATTTTTTATTAGGAACATGTACGACGTCAAAGTAGATACAAGGGCCTCTCTAAACTTGTTTTGTATGGTTTTAAATTGAGTGGCTAGCCAGATTAGCTTCACTACACGCAGGTCAACACAAGTACGTCACTGGGTAAGAGAGGCGGGATTGGCGCGGGCTTGATTCATGAATATTAATCGCCTCGTGTTACGTTCGGTCTCCTGATTTGCTGAGAGGCAGACGTTAGAACGGGATTAACGAATCGCACTATGATGAAGGCGTAGTTTAGGAATATTAATGAGAAGACTGTGACCTAATTAATATTCATGAGATCGGACTTCGCCATAGTATGACTTGTAGTGTGTACACTATACAAAAATATTTCGATTGGTTTATTCCCTGAAATTTTAAGCATTGTTCTCATTTTATTTTTTTTATAAATGTAGTATGTTTAATGACTCATTTTTGCATCTAAAATCAGAGTAAAATATTATAGCCTATTAAAATAAAATACATGCTACACGAGTATCATTAATTGAATACCTTGGTATTACCATCTTAGACTGTCATGGTACTGTGGCGCCACAGCAGTAGTCTTTGTAAAGGTTTACTGTACCAAATCATCATTGTGAGTGTTTATTAAGTTAAAGGACATGTCATGATGATTTCTCTCTGCAGGCAAATTTCTGCCCATGAAAACCATGCTTGGACCACGCTATGATGATAAAGTCCCGGAGGAGAACAGGTTTCATCCCAGCATGCTGTCCAACTATCTCAAAAGCTTAAAGGTATATGGACATCCTCTTAAAGGGATAGTTCACCCAAAATGAAAAATTCTGTCATCATTCACAAGTTGTTCAAAACTTCTTCTGTTGAGCACAAAAGAAGCTATCTTGAAGAATGTTGGTAATCAAACAGTAGGTGGCAGCCACTGACTTCCATGATATATATATATATAAAAAAAAAAAATACTATGGAAGTCAATGGCTACCGTCAACTGTTTGGTTACCATCATTCTTGAAAATATCTTCTGTAGTGTTCAACAAAAGAAAGAAACTTTGGAACAACTGGAATTTTCTTTTTTGTGTAAACGATCCCTTTAAACTGATATGTAACTCTCTTCCGACTGAGCTGTGTTAATGTGATGCTGACCTGTCCTTAGGTGAAGATGGGTTTGCTGGTGGACCTGACGAACACCAGCCGCTTCTATGATCGAGCAGAGATAGAAAAAGAAGGAATCAAATACGTGAAACTTGCCTGCAAAGGGTATGTGACTTACAGAAACCGAATGCTGTGTTGCTTTTCTTGCATTTGAAATATTATGCTGTGTGCCACTCGTGTGACATGCTAGCTGGTCTGTCAGCTTCATGTGGATGTGTTTGTGTCTCGTTCAGTCACGCCGAATGTCCCGCAGTAGAGACGACAGAGATGTTCATCAGGCTGTGCGAGCACTTCATAGAGAAGACGCCCACAGAGCTCATCGGTAAGACCAGCTAGCTCGCGTCTGACAGCTTTGCTTGATTTGTTGTCGTGTAGCACCTTAAACCCTGATGCCAACAATTAACGCTGTGTCCTGTCCAGGCCTGATGTACTACACATAATTTGTCGTCCATATGACTTGTGTGCTGTATTCCACAAGAAACAGTCTGCAGTTTTAAGTATTATTCACTGGGAATATTCTCCTCAGATGTAGTTGTGCATGTGTATTCCGCAAGATATTTTACACCAAACGCCACTGTGGTTCTTGGTTTAAACAAAGGGCAGGTTTGAATATAAATGCTGTGCTAAGCAACACGATTACGGCCAGCTGGAATATATTTAATATTTAATATGCAGTTATATGGACGCAGGATGTTGGACCAATGAGATTTGACTGTGGACAGGAATAGAAACCGAACCCACCAACAAAATGTTCTGTTGCATCAAAATGACCCAACTGCAGTTTGATTGAGATTAATTGGAACGCACAATGAAAAAACATGATTTTTGAAAATTGTGAAATCTAAAAAAAAAAAAATTGAAATCTGTTTTTGCAAATGAACTCTTCATTTGTTGATGTATCATGTCACGTCTGGTTAGAAGACTTTTTATAGAAAAAAACTAGTGCTGACAAATGATTAATCGCGAATAATCGCATCCAAAATAAAAGCTTTTGTTTACATAATATATGTGTGTGTGTGTGTGTGTGTGTTGTGTATATTTATTATGTATATGTAAATACATACACATACAGCATATATTTTCAAAATATTTACCTGTATTTACATGTATATATTTATATTCATATAATTTATATCAAATAGTGCTGACAAACGATTAATCGCGATTAATCACATCCAAAATAAAGGTTTTTGTTTACATAATATATGTGTGTGTACTGTGTATATTTATTATGTGTATATAAATACACACACACATACAGCATATATTTTGAAAATATTTACATGTATATATTTATATAATTCCTATTATATATAAATACATTTAATATACAAATATAACATATTTTTCTTAAATATATACATGCAT